CTAAAACTCCTGTTCTTGCTTGACGGATGTTATTCCTTCTTTTATATCTCTAAAGATTTCTAAATACTTATTTTAAAACTCCTTTAAGATGTCAATATCTCTAGTTCCTTAAATTTAATTTTCTTTATTTGTTGGGTCTGTCCACTTATATTACAAATGCTAGAATTTCTGATTTTTTAATGATTCTTTGTTAGCTCATGTTCTTGTGGGAATTATTTACCACTGGACAGGTTTGTATACCCTTGCTTATCTTTGTCTATGATATGCAAAATTCACAGGTCTTAGGCTAGGTTTTAATGTTATATTTGAACAGCAATCATTATAGTATAAAAAAAAGAATCTGTAGGTTGAATAAAATGAACCTGAGCTCTCTTCACTGTTAGACACAGACTCCTGGCTTTGAAGTGGTTATGGGCACTCTTCCTTCTATTCGTGGCCAGGAGCAAGACCTTTCATCTAGGATCCTAGATTGCAGATATTCTGGAGTTCTTCCTTGGGAAAAAACAAAAGAAAACAAAACAACAGTGCGTTGCTGGATCCCAGACTTATGGAGATCAATTCAATTCCTGTCCCTTCTCTCATGTTTAACCTATGGATTTTGTTCCAAAAACTTCAGCCCAATGGTATGAGCCCCACTGTGGGTCACAAAACTCTAGCTCCTGTTTACTGATTTGACATTTTCTTCCAAAGTTATGACTTCTGGAAATTTCCTTTCTTGCTTTCCAACTACATTATTTGTTTTAAATATGTGTGTATACATATATTCACTTATTCATATGAATATATAATAAATTCATAAAGCTGTATTGAGTGTTCCATGTGTTTGGAACATGGGAAGAGTTTATGTAGGAGCCTGATTTTCCATTTTGTCCAAGAACTGATGAAATTATCTATTCAAGTTACCCATCTTTTTTAAAAAAAATATGATACTTTATTGTTAAAAATGTTTTAAATATTTTTATTTTTAATTATTATGGGTACTGAAGAAGATCTCAAACTAGAATCCTGTTCACTTGATGTCACTTCTGTTATATCCAACTGTCTCCTGACTTTGAAAGACATGGATTACAATTTTGCTAAAAGTGAGATTCAAGACAGTTTTGGCTGTCATTGGCAGTAACATGGGTAAACCTGGATGACATAAGTACAATAAGTACAATAAGCTAGGGATAGAAAGACAAGTAGGGCATTGTCTCCCTTATATGTAGAATCTAAGAAAGTTGAACCCATTAAAGCAGAAAGTGGAATGAAGGTTACCAGGGGCTTGGAGAGGGAGGATGGGAAAATGCTGGTCAAAGGGTACAAAGTTTCAGTTAGACAGGAGGGATAAGTTCTGGAGATATAGTGTAGAGCATGACAACTGTAGTTAGTTATTAATAATGCACCACACATATACTTGAAATTTGCTAAGTGAGTAATCTTAAAAGCTCTCATCACAAAGAAATGATAAGTATGTGAAGTGATCGATATGTTAATTAACTTGAGTTAATAATTTCACAATGTATACACATATCAAAACATCACATTATACACCCTAAGTATACATCATTGTATTTCTAAATCATACTTTAACAAAGCTGGGGGAAATGTATACGATATATTTTCAATTTTAAACCATGAAAAATTTTTATGACATTTTTCTGATAAACCACGCTAGTAATGTCATATAAGAATAAAATTTGTATAATTTGTTAGTGAATTTTTGCAGGTTTCTAATGGTCATAGGTTTGGGATGGGATGTAGGTTTTTAATTCTCCCTTGAGAACTTTTAGATGAACTTGGGCCATGTCTACATCAGCAAGGCAGTTATCTAATAAATTTAGTACAAAATGTGGTCGTTGAATTGTCTAAATTGACTTTCTAGACTGTCCAGATGATTGCTCAAGCCTCTGAATTATTGACAGTTTAGATGTGAGTTTATGATACTAGCATATTATATTGCCTATTTCTGAGAGATTAAAGTCCTGGCTTTACTGCATAGATATGCATCAGATATTATCTTACTCAATGACCTTAGAGGCCAGTTCTGACCAACCTGAATTGATCACAAGTTTCAAGGAATAAAGGAAAGATTAGGAAAAGGGAATATTTTGTATTATCTCCTGACATAGTACAGAAATATTTATGAACACAATTTTCTCATGTATGCTTTTCAAAAGATTCATACAGTCCACTATGCTGTGAAGAAGCCTTGGGAAACTTCTAATATTTATATATCCAATAAAGAAAATGCTTTCTCATGTAGGTTGTGTCATCCACATTGAACAGTCATTGTTCTTAGTCAATATCCCCCTTGTTACACCAGATTTTTATAATCTGGGACAGGGTACTCAAAAAAGGAAATGATGTGTATTTTATTCGTATTTCTAATATTTAGGCATACATAATAGCCTTTAAATTTGTGCACATACAGCCAACATAATTTTAACAAGGACAGAAATGTATAAGCCCTTTCCTTTCTCTTCCATCCTTACTTACATAAACCTCCCCCCGTGCTTTAGGCTTCTGGGTAACCAATTAGTATTATTAACCATGTCAGTCACTTTCCACCAAAATGTAATATTGCAAGCTGCTGCAAAGTGACTCCCAGCCCATCCCTCTTAATGCACTACTAAACGATAATTTTTAAATGTTCTGAGGTTTTGATTTCTAAAAGACATTTGCCAAAACAAAATCTGTTTTGATCTTCGGTTAGGCAATAGAGGAGTCAGCCTCCACCTACAGTTGGTTCATCACCTCCAGTTGGAAGCCAGCCCTCTCTCCAGAACTCCCAGCGGAGGCTCCAGGAGAAAACCTGCCTCTTCCTGCATGCACATCAGTCTGCACAATGCCAGGAGAAGAGAAGGAAATCGCCCTCTCGGCCCTCTTCCAAACAAAGTCAGCAGTATCCAGAGAGTGGCAACACACCTCTGGCTACAAGCTTTATTTCCAATTCTGATTTCCAAAAGGTGTTTCACTGAAAAGATTTCATACTGTGTAGGTTGGATAAGAATACTTAAGACAATTTTTTTCTTAAATTTGTGTCTACAACCTTCAGCTTTGGTTGAACTCAGGCAGGGTGAAGGAAAGAATATAAATTAACATGCATTCCTTTTATTTCCAAACACCATTAAGAAATTGAGTCTGCCAATTTCAACTATGTTAATTATTCAACTTGTTTTCTAAGAAGCTAAAATGAGTATGTTTTCCCAGAAGATTTTTATCTATGCATTTTATTTTGGGAAACATATATTTCTATTTTGGCTAATCCCTATGGAACACCCACAAATCATACTCTAGAATTTCTTGCACAGCTCAAAAGGATTTCTGTCTTTTTGCCATATAGCTCCAGCACTGGCTGATTTGTTTCTCTTAAATCTTACAGTTTTGGGTAAATCAGGGCACTTCATGTTTGTTCCTACTACTAACATGTTTACCATTTTATTGGTCTGCTTGCTGTCCGCTCTATGTTCTCTTCTCTTCTCTGGGGAGCCCAGCACCAAACTGGTTTGGTTTGGGAATATTATCATTTGTTAATAATGCATTTAAGTTTTTCTCACATGATTTAATAAGGTAATTATAAAATATCATCTCAGGGTAATAAAAATGTACAATACACATTAAGTCAAGTTTTATTCAAGCCTTTAGCAGCCTTGAATTCCTTCCAGGTCCTTTTAGGGGAAATTTTCACCCCCAGGGGCTAGGGAACTTAGCATGGAACACCCATTAAGTGTGACGAGCGCTTCATTCCCAGTACACAGCAATGAGATCTCGCCCTTCAAAAACTCTCTTTGATTTTACTTCAATAGGTTGGAAAAAACATCTGTGCTTTGTGTTCTTGTCCAATTTATGATTGAACAAGACATTGAGTACCCAGGTCCCATAGGTACTTGGTATTTAATCAATTATTTTGTCCTTAAGTGGCAATGCTGTGTTCCTCCACATCCTGTATTGTGACACAGAAAAACCCATGGGTCTATAAAGACGTATCATCCAGTGAACAAAAACGGGACAAACGTTTCCCTTTAGCAACTTAGGATGGATTCTTCTCCTGTCCCACGAGTAGCTACTATTGATTTCCCTTCTCAGCGGCTCATGGGGATGCAGGAAATGGAAGACTAGGAGCACGTTGAGGGAGCCCCTAGTCTTCGATCCCGCATGCAGGGGTTCATTGAAGGAAGGAATGTTGCTCTGGCAGCTTCAATCCTAGCAGCTCTGTGACAAACCACTGTGCCTGTGCTCTGAAATCGTACTTGTAATATGGATATTTACAATTAACTTTACAAAAATAATGTTAAATGGGTATTGGAAATATTAATAATAGTAATAAAATCTGGAGGGGACTTTATCCAAAGGAGGTCAGGGGAGTGGAACTGCCTTGATGCTCTTATGGTAAACCCAGAAATACCCAGTGATCCCAGGGTTTGGGGATGAGGTTATGGAATTTTGAATTTGTGCAATATTTTCTTAAAAATTACAAAGCATACTAGTCATGACTTGGGAGCTTGCCAACATTTCTACATATATCTGGAACTGTAAGGACCAGAATGTAAAAGCCTCGAAAAGAGAGAGAGAGAGAGAGAGAGAGCGAGCAAGCCTGTATTGAAAATGACTGACCAAGTAGAGTGATGAATCTGCATCAAATTTTGCATTAAGCTTGAATATTCCTCCACAGAAAATATTTGGATGATTCAGAAGGCTTTCGGGGACGATGCAATGAGTGCAATGCAAATAAAAGTGTAGCACCAATGCTTCAAAGATGATTGAGCATCTGTTGAAAGTGATCCATGTTCTGGAAGGCCTACAACAAGCAGAACACCTGAGAATGTAGAATGTGTACATGTAGGTAGGCTAAGAGACCTACAGCTGGGAGAACTGTGTGAAGTCCCAAAGTGCCTGCTTTGAAGGGGACTGAGGTGTCATTGTCTTATGTACAATGTTTCTTGTATCTTGTACCTTCTTCAGTCAATGTCTCTATTTTTCATACTACATGGCTGGACATTTTCTGGACAGATCTCGTATACAGAGAGATTTAGAGTAACTATATATGTATATAATTTTATTTCATTTGTTTTGTTTTCCTCTCATTTTGGAGAATTAAGTTCAACATATGAGTTATCTACAGTGACTAATGGGCTTGTTGCAGAGCTCTGTAGTGATGTGAGAGGAACCAGAAGTGCTGGATTCTCCTACGGGTCTGTGAGCAGCCTGAGTCACACTTACTCTGTTGTCGAAAACCAGTCACCTAAATATTTTGAGTCTGTCCCTCATTTGCAAAGTGGGAAATATACTTTGTAATGAACAGGGTCATGATGAAGGGCAAAGATGATTATGAAAATGCCTTGCGAAGGAATAAATCTGAACACAGAAATGTTGGTGAGTGCTCATTGGCTGTAAGAGTTCAGAGATCACTCACTGGATATAGTTCAACCCACTTAAATTACAGACATGGGAAGGGAGGCAGCAAGAGGTGAGCATGTCATCCACATTCACACAGCAATGCAGAGATACGGATACTGTATTATACACTTCCGCCACATCATGTTTCATGGAAATGGTATGGTGAGTCACATAAAAAATTAGAAAATGGAGGTTTTTTTTTTTAAAATCAGAAAATTAGAACTTTGGATAGTTTGGATGCAACGTCTTTCCCACTATTTTAAGGTACCTCCTATTGAAGGCACTATAAATGGGTATGCAGGAAATTATCAGGAAAGTTAGAGGCTGGAGGGGAACCCCAGGCAGAGGGAATAACTTGAATAGAGACACAGAGCGTGGCAACATATGCAAGTGTTCAGTTACTTAGTGTGATGTGTGAAAAAGGATTGTCACGCTGGGAGGCCGAGGTGGGCGGATCGTTTGAGCTCAGGAGTTCGAAACCAACCTGAGCAAGAGTGAGACGCCATCTCTACTATAAATAAAAAGAAATTAATTGGCCAACTAATATATATAGAAAAAATTATCTGGGCATGGTGGCGCATGCCTGTAGTCCCAGCTACTCGGGAGGCTGAGGCAGAAGGATTGCTTGAGCCCAGGCGTTTGAGGTTGCTGTGAGCTAGGCTGACGCCACGGCACTCACTCTAGCCTGGGTAACAAAGTGAGACTCTGTGTCAAAAAAAAAAGAAAAAGGATTGTCACAAGATTAGGTCAGGGAAGAAGGAAGGGTCAGATCTGATGCTTGAGAGTTTGGGAGCCTTAGACAGGTTTTAAGCAGGAAGCCATATGGTACATTGGATCCCACTGGTTACACTAAGGAAGATGGTTTTGAGGGTGAGCAGGATGAATGTAGAAAGACCAGCAAGGATTTCATCATCACACTCCATGCAAAAGGTTACAAGGACCTGTGTTGTATCATCAGTCTATTTGAATGGAATCGAGAACTATTTAGGAAGTGAATATTAGCATAAATGTGATCAATTTGTTGTAGATGGTAAGGGAAGAGGACATCAAGAAGATTTTCGGAGTTCTAAATGGAAAGGGGATTTATAAAGGTGCCATAAAATGGGACGTACGAAGAAGAAGAGATTTAGGAAAGCAGCTATGTATTTTGGAATTGTGATCTGTGATATGCTACTACAATACTCAAGCGAAGTTGCCACGTGTCAGTTGCATGTGAGTCTGGAATATGTCTTGAAGAAGTCTTGAATGGAAAGATAAACTTGGAAACCACTAACATATCCATGGGCGGTTGAAACTAGGAGAGTGGCTGGCACCACCCTTTGAGAGTATAGAATGATGGAACTCTGAAAACACTAATGTTGGTTAGACTTATGCCCATGTCTTCAAATAAGTGAGAGAGACACTACAACAAGGAGAGGTTAATGGGATGAACTAGAATAGCCTTTAAGGAGGGTTTTTGTTTCAATTACAGGAGAATCCTAATTTGGGGGATTGTTGCCTAAAATGCAGACTTGGAGACCTAATTCCAGGTTTAACAAATCAGAATCTCTGAAAAAGTGGCCCAGGTTACTGAATTTTAAACAAGTTCTCCAGGTGAAAACCAATGCTCTGCAAGTTAGCTGCTAACCAGGTTTTTATTGGTCAATACACTACTTCAGCTGGCTATAGGTACAGAACTTTTTAACGTGGGTTAGGGAGGAGATTTCTAAAAGTTCTAGACATGAAAAGATCCTTTTCTAGAATTCCTAGACTCAACCTAATCTCTTCGAGTAGCCATTGATCTTTGTTTGCAAGCAAATGGTCAGAGCTAGCTACCCCCCTTATTCTCAGCTCCTTCAAAGCAATATGTTTTTACTCTTGTCAGCAAGAGATAGAATTCGTCATGGCAAAGCATGGTCTTAGAGTAAAGTGTGGAGTTTGTAGCCATGCCAGTAAAAGGGTTCAGAGGCAGGAAAGCGTAACAGTGCAGTAGAGTCAGCACTGCTTACTTGCTGTGGGATCTGGAGCAGTCACTTAATCTCTTGGAGCCTTAATTTCCTCATCTATAGAAGGGGAGAGTAGTAATTATCTCACTGTTTTGTTGTGAGGACTAAATGAGATCATATATGTAAGGTGTCTATCCTCTGGAAGCTCCTAATAAGATTAGCTACTATTAATACTTATACTAAGACACTTAGTGGGACCAGAGGCTCACAAACCCCCGGTGAGTTCATGGAGACAGCTGAAGGCTCTGAAATAGTTTCAGGTCCTCAGACTCCCAGGGGAGAGTATGATCTGCGCAAAGATGATTACATTATTTTTCTTTCTTAGACTTATTTTCCTAGAAGATATTTCTCAAGGATGATGAGAGCCTTTGTAATTTTCAACCTTTAAAAATCAATTATTCCTGAGTTATTTTTGCATTTATGAAAAGCACCAAATTAATTTCTACTGAGTTTTCTTTTCTATGATCAACGAGGAGGTCAGCTGGTAGAGAAAACGATATTCTAACAACACTGGGTATCGCCCCTCAGAGTTCTAATTGCCTTAATTCTCTGTAATTCAATTCTGAGCACCAGCATCTTTTCATACAGTCTTAAAAATCTTAATATACGCATGAATTACAATACTCTAATATGCAATTCACATTGCAGGGTTTACATGTTATAATGCTGTATGGAGAAAAGCCCTAAAATCCAAAAGCTCTGGTCCCAAATGTTCTTCATTCCCACAACGCACAAACAGACAAAACCTCAGAACACAGGTGATATCCCTCTCTCATTCATTATATACAGTATCTCTGCCCTGGCCTCTAGATTTCCTTGCGCACCTTAGGAAATCATGGACAGATAGATTTGAACCAGCATCTAGAGGTGAATGATGCCACATTCTATTACCTGAGTCACTATCTCCCCAATAGCTTCCACCTCCCTCTTTTTTTCCCCCAAAGAGTACATCTTTGGAAATTGAGAATATTCAGTGAACAGGACTCATAAATCAAATCATTATCATTAATAATCAAAGTGAGACGTTGTAAGAAATAGCAAATTAATCACAACTGGCAGGTGAAGCTACTACCAGCATGTGCTTTCTGCATACTAAAGGGAGCAGAATTTTTCCCAGTGGGTTTTTATTTTTTTAATTCATTTTCGTAGTGAACACTACACTTTTTGGTTGACTGGGAACTACGTCCAAACCTAAATTTTTACGCTGTTAGTATAATTGATTCTATTTCATAAAACTTGATTTTCAGAACCTTGTTTGTTCTGTAAATAAGGTAGATTATGATTCTATGTATTTCATGAGTACTTACATGCCTTTTTGGTGAAAATGAAAGAAAAGCCTAAATATAGGATCTTTTACTATTATAACAGTTTTCTTAGAGATAAATAGTAATAGTTCATGAATTTTGAGAATCTTTTTTCTCCAGGAGAAAAACCTCTCCTCATTTCTCCATCATAATATTTGCTTTGTTGGCTTTCTTGTGAAGTAAGAACTATTTTTTTTTTAATAGAGAGAAGGGAAGACAATAACAGTTAAATTTCAGTCATGTCACATAGCAATTCTGGGTTCCAATTTAAAATAGACTTGCGTGTCCTGACCAAGCACTAGGCAATATTGTTAGAATTTTCAGTTCTTGCTGACTTTTGAAATGCCATGCCAATTTTAAAAAATAGGGAGAAAATAAATACTAATGTCTGGAGTGTATTTTCATTTCTATATTTTATCAAAATTCACTGAGTGGTAAAAATACATTAGGTCTACATTAAACTCTGTATTTAAGGGAAAGGCAAACAAAACATGTGGGGATTAGAAGGAAATTAAAAATAAAAAGCAAAATGTATTTAAGAATTGAGAAAAATAATATTTCATTGAGGCCTATGTTCTTTCGTTAGATATACCTTAAGTAAGATACAGGGGGAAGGGCGGACCAAGACTGTCATTGTCTTTTACTCACAATCACTTTTCCCTTCCATGACCGTTACCAATTACCTTAAGCTGAATTCAATAATCCTCATCAGTACTCTAGGAGTTTAACTAGAAAGTGACATTAAGGTCCAAATGTTGGAGTTTTGCAAATGTAGAATTCTCAAAACCTTTCTGGCAGATTTCTGAATTACTCAGGGGTGTCAGGGTCCATTTCTTTCATATTACTTACATATAGGCCTTTTCTTCCTTTTGGGAGCATCTCTATTCAGTAAAAAAGAAAAATTAAGTGATTGTACGATACACATTATATTGAAGACAGACAAGGAAAGTGGTTTAAAAATAGATAAATGCATTTTCTTCCTTTAACATTACACATATTGGTTACTCTTTCCTGTCTATTTTCTAGACATTTTTTTTCAGTTTCTGTTTCTGAGGTGATTTGTCATTCTCCTTGAATTTCTTTCTCTACTAATCTTCCAGAGGCAGAGTTAGTCATCTGACATATTAAGATAGTTTCCTGGGTCTAATGAGCTCTCCACTGGGGCGCCCAGCCCTGCTCCTGAGCACAGTGGTGCCCTTCAAGTCTAAAAGGACAAAATCCCAACTCTAAGAGGTAGAGAATAGTTTCCTCAGAAAATGTGATAGTTTTATATTTAAATGGCTTATTATGTTGCTTAACTGTGCAAAAGTCATTTGCTCTTTTTGGAGGAGAATACATAACTGTAATCAAACAATACTGAACTTTAAGAAAAAAGAAAGCAAAGTAGGAAGTGTCATATAAATTGGCCTTTTTTGGTTTGTTTTGATTTGTGTTGTTTTTCTTTGCAATATTTGACACAATATTTGGAAAACACAGTGTCCTCTTTTCTTACTGAGTCCAGAATATTCTCTAAGTGAGCAATGAATGCGCTACGTTCCATAATGTCTCCTCTTTTGATTGTCCAAAGCATCACATTTATACCCACTTGAACCTGTAGAATTGCTGATGTGACTGGAAACCTAAAGAATACCATTTCTTGCCTGTTGATACAGGAGCCAAAAGGTTATAACCTCCTAGGATCACGTAGGTAGGTTTCTTGATTGTTAGTGTGTTTATTTTTATCATTCCTAACTTGTAAATAAGGAGACAATTCATCAAAAAATTACTAAATAAGATGGCAAACCATAGGAAAGCAAGAATCAAACAGATTCCTTGGCATAATCGATCAGCTAAGAATAAGACCAACTTTTCTTCCCCATTTCTTTTCTCTTTTTCTCTCTTGCTCCTTTGCTCCCTCTCTCCTTTCAGCAACCTCCTCGAGTTTTGTTTTCTGTAACCCACACAGTGCTGTGGAATAACTGTAGGGTTTTGAGGCTTATATATATATTTATTTTTTTGCAGTTTAACTGCATGAATGTAAAAAGCGCCTCAGCAGTAATGCACATTAGGTTCTTCAATAACACAAGGAATGTAAAGCGATTTCATATCTCCTTGGATCAGGAACATTAATTAATCATATGATGAGAATGCAACGTTTTATTTACCAGTGCAAGAGGCTGCCAAGATCTTTCTGACTTTAATAATTGCACATGCTGTTGAGGGAGGAAAAATTAATTTAGTTATTAAATTGGAGGGTGCTTTTTTTTCTACCATGGTGAAGTTGGAAAGTAGCCAGGCCGTAATGTTAATGTTATGAGAGTTAAAAGCTTTCCCCACCTTCATTTAAAGAAAAAATAGAAAAAGAAAATTGTTGGGAATGGTATACACAGCTTGTTTCTCATGAACGCAGATAATAAAACAAAGTTTCTATTATATTTTTCCCCCTCAGGCACAAATAGGTTGAGTGAAATAGATGCTTGCAAGGATGGCGTGCTCCCAAGGTGCAGAAGTGACCTTAGCAAGTGCACTGTCCCCTAGTCAATGGCAGTGGTTCGACGGGAAAAGAGCAGGTGGTCTTCGAAGTGTAAAGTTGTAGGGGAACGAAGGTCTCAGCATGGAGGCTGTGTGGCAAAAGTCAATGGTGTGATTTGTCATAACCTTCTTGACTCCCATGTTTATTTCCCTGGCAGAAATGTGTTTCTCGTTCTCCTCCAGCTTTCAAATTTCCACTTTCAAGTATTATTTCAAGAGCCTCCCCTTTAAAGACTCAACCTGAAGAGATCTTGCTTTTTTTACTGTTTCTATATTTTCCCCCTTCTCCTTCTTTTTCATCCTTCCCCACCACCCATTAATTTAATGCACGTTGGTTTGTAGCACTTTTCCAAACACATAATGTGGCACCATACATGCGCTGTATTTATGTGCACATTGTTTTTTATGTCCTGCTAAACTTTTTGAGGGTGGAGATAGGTTCTTACCAATCTATGCAATCCAAAGTTTTAAACAGTATCATTTGACACGTTGATTATTAACAATTGCTCATTGTCTTTATTTGGAAGGGAGATAACACTGTTGTGTGCAGGTGTGGCTACCAGTCCCAACAATTTATTAACTATATGTAGCCTTTATCACGTCAATTAATGATCTTAGTCACCAGTGCTTTCATCTGTAAAATGTGTTGTTCCAAAATATATTTATGTCTCTAATATTGTGACATAGAAACATGAACTAGGAATAGAAGAGTAGAGCTGGAATTTGAGGAGATGAGAGAACTATGTATTATTTGGTATAGCACTTGTTATATAAATTTAAATTTATATTTAGTGCTGGATATAGTTTTTCTAGATTGCTTTTATATTTAACAATTGCTGAATTAACCAAATTCGAGGGTGACTGTTAAATGTATCTGTTAATGCATGCTGAATTAAAAGATCTACAATAAGTTGGTAATGGTTTTCCAAAGCCAACACATCTTTAAATATTATTTTGAGATCTTAACATTGAGCCATAGTCTGTTACATGCTTAACAATGTGATCCCAAATTTTTTTTCAGTTTCCCAATTCCATTGGAACATCTATCTTTACTTCCTACTGAACTATGAAGGAATGAAAAGAACATAAGCATTTACTTGCAGGTAAAATTCTTAAAACTTCTTCTCTAGACAGTAGTTCCTATACTTGTATCTAGAGGAGAGATAAAAAAAGAGACTCATTGTGCTTTTTAAAGGAAGCCCTGAGTGTCAGCATTATTAAGCACTTAATATATAAATAACTTAAAAAAAATCCAGACCCTGGGGCCAACAATTAAAGGCAGTGCTTCAAAACAAGTTTATTGGAATTACCTCTGTGTGAAAAGAACGTCTGCTTTGAGCTTCTGGGATACTATTATATGCATTAAGAAAACTGACTACCACAATCTTGATATATTGACAAACTGCCAGATCATGAAAGAGCGTAGATTGCGAGAAATAGACACATACGTATAGGGACAACTGATTTTTGACAACCATGTAGTCAATTCAGCAGAGAAAGAAGGAGTTTTTAATAAATGGTACTGAAACAATTTATTAAAAAAGTGAACTTTGATCCATACCTTGTGCTATATATTATATATTGACTATGAATTTATAAATCTCCCAGAAAAACAAGCAAAAAACCCATTCCACTAGCCCTTTACCAACCGGTTCTATTATAGCAGAGTTGAAGAAATGTTTAAGGAGGCAACAGCAATTCTACCAACTTGCAGCAAAACAAGGAGGTAGGGCTTTTTGGATGAAGAATACTGGGAAGTTGGAGAGTTTTGGAGGGTGAAGAATAATGTGTTTTTAGAAACTGGACAGCACTGAGGGGCAATTTTGGAAAGGTGATAACTGCTTTATACCACTTGTGTGTTGTCAGCATTACTTGCTATCAGTCAAGATCTATGGGAAGGTAGCCACACTTGGGAAGGGGTAGGAATCAATATTAGTAAGTCTCTGTTAACTAATTTAGCCAGCATTAGAATATATCGGGCAGAATGATCTTTACAATACAGTAGAAACAAATATTTTATTGGACAGGTAGAATTTGCTTAAGTTAAGACACTTGAGATCATATAAATTTATAGCTCAGCTACCCTAAAACTTGATAATCCATCAATCTCTTATATCTGGAAAACAGAGAAGAACGCTAAATTTAGTTAAAATTGATCACCAAGCAAGCAACTCCATTCACAAAATCCAGGAATTAAAATTTCGTTTACTACTTAAAAGAAATCTGCAGGTTTCAGAGCCTATCTATACATATTTTACACACAATTCTAACAAACCTGGAAAACCAACCGCATCTTAGAATCAAGAAATTAGGGATGAAATATGTTTCCATGAGTGGTTACACTGACAGCAGCAATAAGTGATACCTGGTATCTCAATTCAAGGGAAGAAAAACAATTATAAAAAGCAGAAAAAAAACACTAAAAATGAACTTTTCTGAGTCTTTATATTGAGCCTAATATGTTGGATTAATATAAATATGATATAATTAGCATTAATATTTTAACTAAAATAATTTTCTTAAATACTGCTTATACAGGGTAAATTCTCTGTTATTTGGAAAACTGTTATTCTGAAAGATTATTCTGAGTTTTAGATAGCCAGTACTTTACTTGATACCATTTACTTTCTCATGCAGTCCCTTGTTTCCTATTGTAAACATAAATATTAATAAAAAAATTATGTAGAAATATGCAGATAAATAATGTCAAACATAGGGGCGAATTCTGCAAATCACTTTGTTAAGCAAAATCACTTTTGATTTTTATAGTAATTTCCCGAAAATTATTTTAGTATTTTTTATGGAATACTGAATCCAAATATTTTGAGAATTGAATAATTCACTCTAAATTCAATAGCATATGTAGTGACTTTTTATCTATGTAATCAGTAAAGCCCATTTTAAACATCTTTAATGTAAAGTATTGTGGCGGTCACTGGAGGTAACCCAAGTTGATGTAATGCCCTGTCCTTAGACAAAAGGACTCACAGTCTGATTTGAAAGACAGCCATAAAATAAGTAAAAATGTTGAGTAGTTCATAAATGGAATAGACAATATGTTCAAGAAATCAGAGTAATCACTATATTCAGAGATGTAGAACTCAACACCGAAGCCACCTGCCTCTCTGTCCATTATTATTGCTCCCTTTTTTCCTGTATTAATCCCATTTCAAATTTAATTTTGGAATAAGGAGAGAAGCATCCAAATAAAAATCCAGACACCCTCGTTTTATTTCTTATTCCATGCAATTTTTGACACATTATTTCACATATAAGAATTCAATTCTGAAAAACAACCATCTGATTTAAATCAGACGACCCTTCATGCTAAAGATGTATATTTCTACTGATTTCTATTTAAATGAACACTTGTATTAATAGTTCATTGACATGAACACACACTCTTTATTCATATAAACCAAGTCAGAGTTGGAAGAGAGTTATTTGGAAACCTATTAAAGCTACTTACATACATGGTTTCTTTGTTATTTTATCTTTAATGTGGATATAATATTCCCTTTTTTGACTAAAGGCAGGAGCTCCGCATGCTTTAAAGGTCCCTTCTTGGTTAAGACCTGTGGGTTTATGAAAGTCAACTTTATGGTCATGCACAAGATTATTGTTCAGATGCATGGCCTGGAAAACAGCACTCTCAAATGAAATTTAAAAAGATACCACTCCAATGCTTATAACAACATCTGATCCTTGTAGTTTGAAATAAAACACCAGAATATTGCAAATATCTTGAAAGAAATTTGGCATATAATACTCTTGACAATATACCAAGTGTACCTAAAAGCAAAATCTCATGGATCTTAAACATTTTTTTCTTCTCTTATTCTCTTCTCTTGTGTTCTTGTGTTTTTCCTTCCATTATGAATGCTCAATAAATATCTGTTAAATTGCATTAAAGGGATCTAGATGCCAACAGAGAGAATGCAATGGAACATTATAACCCAAACTTGTAACCATAATGTGGGAAAAATTTTAAAAAATGTGAATATTGTTAAGAAAGATACAATTGCACTTTGCTTTATGCAAAGATATATAAAATGAAACAGCAGTTTTACAAATCAAATCCCATTTTATTACTGACCTGGCAAGATAAAAAAAATCCTACTGGAAATGCCTTTTAAAATTGCTTATAACTAATAACTACCTTTTTTATTCTTTAGGAAAATTTGGATTTAAAAATATCAGTTTTGTTTAAAGAGTTTAAAAAAAGTTAGAACCAGTTATTATTCCCTTGCGCTAGATGACAAAATATCTGAAACATGTAATGTTAGTAAGTAGGAGTTACACACAAAAAAAAGGCAGGGCTGGAAAAAGTCCTAAACTGTACAGTTTAAATGATCACAGGGCTTTAGGGTTCCCTTTATCTGTGTTCTATATTCTAACAAATTCAAATGGCAAAACAACATCTGAATGATGCAGAAGACAAAGGAAAAAAATGAAGGGTACAAGGCATATTTTATAGTTGATCAGGGTATTATAGATTTCTGATTTTAATTATAGAAATATATATTTAACTCAAAATACAATTATTCAAAATATTTATAATATCATACTTAAAAATCAAATTCAAAAGACACTAATCAGAGGGGAATCTTTTATTGTTGCATGCCTATTTAGTAAACAAGGCAGGAAGTATTTTGGAATTAGACATGCAGCTCTCCCTGCAGTAAACTACAAGAGCACAAGTGACTTTGTTCATATTGTTTCAATTTTCTGATTCACTTTCCTCCTCGTTAAGTAGATGACTATGCAAAATTGATGGGAGTATCTGCAGCCATGAGACATGAATTGTAGAGGCTTCCTTGAGACCTCTTTGCTACTTAAATAGAAAACTCCCATCAAAAGGATACAAAGTCATCTAATATTTGACTAAATTCTATAATTTCAGAAATAATGGTGGAGAAAGGGTCTCCCATATTTCCACGCATAAATTTTACTTCTCTGATTAACTAGTGGATTGAGAAAAATTTCAACGTACGCTGCCTCTCTAACTCTTGCCTCCTTTTTGCCTTCTATGTTCTTTTTTCCTTGACAGTTAAGTTTGGAAGGAATAAACAAGTCTTAATATTGCAGACAGAAACTTGTCTTCTAATGGTGTTTTTTTTAAAATTGTTTTGGAGGTTTTGCTTGTTTGTTTTGCAATAATTTTTTAACTAGAGAAAAATTTCCTGAGTTCTATGGATCTATGTCTATGAATCTACATAGTATTTTGGCAAACAATCCATAGGTGATAAACTTGGAAATATGTGTGAAATAACTTAGTGATAAAATAATTAGACTAGGTTTAGGGGAATTCAATTCTAGCCTCAGATCTGCCATTAACACTCTGTGAGATCCCAAATCAGTCCCTGATTATGGTTATATTTTCCTCAACAGAAAATCTTAGTTGGGCCTGGGTAAGGTGGCTCTTGCCTATAATCCTAGCACTTTGGGAGGCCAAGGTGGGAGGACTGCTGGGGGCCAGGAGTTTGAGATCAGCCTGAGTAAGAGTGAGACCCCATAGGGGAAAATAGGAAAATAGTAAAATTAGCCAAAAAAACAAAAAAATAGGAAAATTAGCCAAGCATGGTGGTGTGTGCCTGTAGTCCCAGCTACTTGGGAGACTGAGGCAGGAGGATCACTTGAGCCCAGGAGTTTGAAGTTACAGTGAGCTATGATGATGATGCCACTGCACTTTATCCAGGGTGACAGAGCAAGACACTGTCTCAAAAAGAAAAAGAAAAGAAAATATTAATTAGATTGAAAATTAAATGAACTTTAAAGGATCTCTAGCTTTAAAAATGCAGAAGATACAAGATACAAGAGCTAACACAGGAAGAGACTTCTTTAGTTAATTCAAACAAATAAATAAACCTAAAAATTATTTGAGGAGATCTGACTTGTTTGAATTACTTGCATGAATTCTGAACTTCCCTTTTTATGTATAAACACTGCTTACAGGAACACATAGGGAAGGTATCTTTTTTTGAAATTTCAGTACGATTCAGATATGTTGACATTAATGTAACAATTATTCTGCTTCTGTAAAATTCATTATGTTAGCACTTTATTAAGATAATGTAAAAGTAGGTCAGTTTAGCAGCTGAGC